TAGTAGTCAGGCTGAGGCAGAAAGACAGGTGCAAGTTTGAGGCCACCCTGGTCTGAGCAGTGAGTCCAGGACAGCCGAAGTATAGTGAGACCCTGTCTCCAAAATACAAAGTTCTGAGTACCTTAACCTTGATCTATTGCTGTGTTGTACCTGTGTGGCTTATCTAGTGCTAAGTGAATACTCATCTTTTTTTTTTTTTTTGCGGAACCAGAAATTGAACTCGGGCCCTTGCGCTTGCCAGGGAAGCGCTTATTCCACCGAGCCATCTCCCTGGCCCTAGTGAATACTCACCTTAATGTCCCATGGTAGTAAACATTGGTTTTCTCCTTTATATTTGCAGATAAAGCAGTTTCTTATTATAAATTACTTAATGCTCATTGCAAATAGTTTTTCTACCCATTTGTCCCCCCAGTCCAAGCATGGGGATTGAACTCAGGATTCTACCACTGAGCCCTTTTTTGGTGTGTTTTTTTGTTTTTTTGTTTTTTTTTTTTAGTTTGTTTGTTTTTGAGACAAGCTCTTGCCAAGTTACCCAGATGGAACTCAAATTTGTGTTCCTCTTGCGTCAGCCTCACTAAGCCCTAGAATTATAGGCATGTGCTACTACCCTGTTCCTTCCTGTTCTTTTTCTTCCTTTCTTTTGAAATATATTTCTCTCTTTAATGGGGTGGCCTGTGTTTTCTTTTATTGATTTGCATAGCATGAGAATAGTTTAAATACCTCATTCTCTTATTTTCCTAAGCACAGCAGGACTGAGAGTTGGGCAGTAATACTACAAGCTGGTTTTTCAGAGGCTGAGTTCTTGGATTTTTCATTTATTGTTTTTCTTTTTATTTATTTATTTATTTATTTATTTTTATGTGTTCTGCAGGGTGTTCAGGGTCTCACCTGTAGATCATACGCGTAGTGATTCTCCTATTTATAACCTCCCAAGTGCTGGGATTACAGGCAGGTGCCACCATGCCCAGTTTCAGTTGCTGTCTCAGGGTACCCAGGGGGCGGGGCTGACGTGGCAGACCTAGTGGATCTAATCCCTGGCCCCTGCGCCTGCTTGCAGGTGCTTTAATCTGTTGAGCTATTTGGCCCTTGTTTTTGTTTTTTGTTTTGTTTTTGAGACAAGGTCTTAGTATGTAGCTCAGGCTGGCCTTGAACTCACTATATAGTCCAGGCTGGCCTTGAACTCAGAGGGATCCTCCTGTCTCAGCCTGTGCTGGGATTGCAGGCATGTGTACTCCACCATGCCCAGTTTCTCATAGTTTTGAGTGAGAAAGTAAAAAGAAATGAAATGAGCACCAGTCCCTTGCTTTCTTCTTTATAGATAGACAGGTTGTACCATTTTGAATCTTTTGCTGTGATAATGGTTGAAGAAAACCTAATACTAAATTCCATATAGACCCATCATTATAAAACAGGTAGGAAACCTAGAGAAATTTTTTTCTTTGTAGAAATCGAGACCAAAGAACTATCTGGAAGCTCTCAGTAGAGTCAGACCCAGGCTTCCCGGAACTTTAATAATTGAGAGTAAGTCTTACAGAGCAGGGGCAGTTTTAGCTAATGTTCTGGGGACAGACTGAATGTCCATGTGGGAAAACAGATGGACGGTGCTTCGCACCCCACATACACGTCGCTCTGGGAGAACCGGATGCTTGGATGTGCAGGGTAAGGACGAAAGAATGTCTGTAGGGAAGAAGTTCTTTAAGATAGGAGAGCTTTCCTGTTCTGTAGCACCACTCTTACTCCCACCTGCTCAGAAGGCTGAGGCAGAAAGATTGAAAGTTCAGGGGTAACCTGGTGAGACCTCCTTTCATAGTTCAAAACAGATTTACAAATGTTGGGGTGCCACTCCATGTCAGAGGCCTCAGGATCATCGTCCGTACCAGCTGTCGGGGGACAGACACAACTGAGAGAGAACTTTAGTAGCACCTAAATCTAAAATGAAGGCTTCATATTCAGAACACATGACCAAGTATGTGATCTGCAACTCAGCTGAAATGAAAATTAATAGCAATACTTGAATTAGAAATGCAACCT